GGTGCCTTGTCCCCATTGGTCCCTTCTCCCCGTTGATGTCTTGTCCCAATTGGTGCCTTGTCCCCATTGGTGTCCCCTCCCCATTGGTCTCTTGACCCTATTGGTCCCTTGTCCCCATTGGTCCTTTTTCCCCATTAGTCCCTTGTCCCCATTAGTGTCCCCTCCCCATAGGTGCCTTGTCCCCACTGATGTCTGTCCCCATTGGTCCCCATTGATGTCTGTTCCCATCGATGTCCCTCCTCCAGGTCAACGGGGTCCCAACACCCCTCCCCGTGGAGGTCTCCCCCAAATTGTCCATCAACGAGACCCGGGGCACCCTCTGGCTCACCCAAGACCCCGAATTCGTCATCGGCCTCAGCCCCGCCGGGGAGGTGACGGTGATGGTGGCCCGGGACCTCAGCAAGGGCCTTTGTGGCCTCTGCGGTGACTACGACGGGGACGCGGCCAACGACCTCCGTGGGCCCGATGGGAAACTGGTGGGGGACACGGTGGCACTGGCCAAGGCCTGGAGGGCGCCCGACTTCACCCTCGTGAGTGTCCCCACTTTCCCCACAAGTCATGGGTTTTGGGTGAAATTTGTCACTTCTCCGTGTCCCTTTGTCACTCCTGGTGCCACCAGCGTGAGGAAACATCTGCGAAGTGGTCCCGTCCCCAAAAAATCACCAAAATTGTGCTTTTTGGCCGCGAAATTTCAACCCAACACGCGGTGTCCTTCATCCCACCTTCATCATGAAGTTGTCCGTTCCTAAATATTTACCAAAATCGCCCTTTTTTTGGACCAATTTAATAGGACCACATGGGAAATCACACCAAAAAAGGAGGAAACACCCCCCAGAATTAGGGAAATTGTCCCAAAAAGGAGGGGATATCACTGCAAAAAGGGGGAAACTACCCCAAAATTGAGGGAAATCACCCCAAAATCGAGGGAAATCATCCCATAAAGGAGGGAATTGCCCCAAAAAGGGGGGAAATCACACCAAGAAGTAGGGAAACTGCCCCAAAAAAGGTGATATTACCCCAAAAGGAAGAAAATAACCCCAAAAAGGGGGGGAAACAATCCCGAAAAGGGGGAAATCGCCCCAAAAAGGGGGAAAATCAACCCAAAAAAGTAGGGAAACTGCCCCAAAAAGGGTGATACTACCCCAAAAGGAAGGGAATCACCCCAAAAAGGGAGGAAATCACCCCAAAAGGAGGGAAATTGCCTCCAAATAGGAGAGAAGTCACCCCAAAAAGGGGGAAATTGCCCTCAAAAGGGGGGAAATTACCCCATAAATGAGGAAACCGCCAGAAAAAGAGGGGAAATTGCCCCAGAAAGGGAGGAAATAGCCCCCAGAAATGACTGAAACCACCTCAAAAATAGAGGAAATCATCCCCAAAAAGGGAGAACTGCCCCAAAAAGGGGTAAATCAGCCCAAAAAGGAGTGAAATCGCCCCCAAAAGAGGGGAAATCACCCCAAAAATTACAGAAACCCCCCAAAAAGGAGGGAAATCACCCCAGAAATAGAGGAAATCATCCCCAAAAAGGGGGAACCACCCCAAAAAGGGGGAAATCAGCCCAAAAAGGAGGGAAATTTCCCCAAAAAGGAGTGAAATTGCCCCAAAAAGGGGAAATCACCACCAAAAAGGGAGGAAATCACCCCCAAAAGGAGGGAAATCGCCCCCAAAAATCACTGAAACCACCCCAAAAAGGGGGAAATCAACACAAAAAGGAGTGAAATCGCCCCCAAAAGGGAGAAATTGCCCCCAAAATAGAGGAAATCATCCCCAAAAAGGGGGAATTAATCCCCAAAAAGGGGGAAATCACCCCAAAAAGGAGTGAAATTGCCCCCCAAAGGGAGAAATCAGCCCAAAAAGGAGGGAAATCAGCCCAGAAATAGAGGAAATATCGCCAAAAGAGGGGAAATCACCCCAAAAATTACTGAAATCATCCCCAAAAAGGGGGAACTGCCCCAGAAAGGGGGAAATCACCCCAAAAAGGAGGGACATCCACCCAAAAAGGAGGGAAATTGCCCCCAAAAGGGGGAAATATCTCCCAAAAGAGGGGAAATCACCCTCAAAAGGAGGGAAATCACCCCAAAAATAGAGGAAATCATCCCCAAAAAGGGGGAAATCAGTCAAAAAATAGAGGAAATTATCCCAAAAAAGGGGAAACCACCCCAAAAAAAGGGGAAATCAGCCCAAAAAGGAGGGAAATTGCCCCCAAAAGGAGGAAATTGCCCCAAAAATTACTGAACCCCCCCCAAAAAGGAGGGAAATCACCCCAGAAATAGAGGAAATCATCCCCAAAAAGGGGGAACTGCCCCAAAAAGGGGGAAATCAGCCCAGAAATAGAGGAAATCATCCCCCAAAAGGGAGAGCCAGCCCAGAAATAGAGGAAATCAACCCAAAAAGGAGGGAAATCACCCCCAAAATAGAGGAAATAATCCACAAACAGGGGGAACCACCCCCAAAATAGAGGAAATTATTCCCAAAAGAGGGAAATCACCCCAAAAATAGATGAAATCATCCCCAAAAAGGGGGAAATTGCCCCAAAAACGGGGGAAAATCCTCCCCAAAAGTGGCAAATAACCCCAAAATTTGATTATTAATCCTTAATTCTCTCTTTCTTGGCCAGTGACGTGGAAAACCCTGGAATTTGGGGGCAAAACCCCCCCCCCGTGTCATCGCTGAGGTCATCGCTGAGGTCATCGCTGACATCATCACGGCGAAACACGAATATATGAAAAAAGGGGGGGGGTGGTTAGAAAAACAAATATAAAAAAAAGTTGGGGGGGGGGGAGTTTCCCAAAATTTGAGCTTTTCTGCCCCAAAATCTGGGCGATTTGGGGTCCATTTACAATAAAATCGAGGGAAAAATTTGGGATAATGAGGTGCCAAGGGGGAGGGTGAGGTTTTGGGTGGGGGTGG